CAGGGGCACCGGCACCGGCCCCAGCGCTGCCCCTCCAAACCTGGGCTGTCCACCGACGTCATCTCGGACTGCTCCATTATCTGACACGATGTTCAATTAGGTTACATTGCATTAAATTATTAAAGGTTTTATATTCACTTTCCTACGCCTCCGCTTGCAGTCATTCACGCAGCACTAAACCCCCCCAGAGCCCAGTGCCCACCTGCAGGGCAGCACAGAGGGCCGTGTCCCAGCGCTGCCCCCAGCAGCCCCGTCCCTCCCTTCCGATGTCCCCTGCCCTCCTCAGTCAGCACTACCTGGGGAATGCTTGGCGTGGGATTCTGGCAGAGCTGGGGCGGCTCAGCCTGCAGAACAGGAGGCTCAGGGAGATCCCGGCACGGCCATCGGTCCCTGCGGGGAGATGCAAAGAGGACGGAGCCAGGCTGCGCCCGGCAGTGCCCAGCAGCGGGACCGGAGGCTCAGGCTGCAGCACAGCAGGTTTCCCTGTATGTCACCACTGAGCCCCCAGCTTGGGTCAGTGTTGTTGGATAATTTTGCCAGTGATCACAATGCGGGAGATGAGTGCATCCTTGTGAAATGCATCAGCCCTGTGAACACCAGCCCTGAGGCATACAGATGGGCATCCCTACTGCTTCCTATTAGTTCCCCTGGGACTCCATTGACAGCGATGAGGCCATACTGATCTTTACTTGGTGCTGGCTGGTTGCTGGGGGGTGTCTCAGCAGGAAAGCTGGGCTGGGGAGGAGTTCCCAGCTCCAGCAGTGCCTCTCAGCATGGTTGTTTCCAGGGGAAATGGGTTCTTGTTGAGTCCATCTCATGTTTTGGTAAGGATGATGAAATGCCATTACTCCCCTGGTAAATTGCTGCCAGGCCCCGCCTCGACTTTTCACTTGTTGATACTTCCTACAAAATTCCTGTCCAAAAGGAGAACTTGGGGATTGAGGCACTCTTAGGAACAGTGAAGCCAGCTTCTTCCAGGAGCAGGGGAAGTTCCTTTGGGAGAGCCATCTGAACTTGGGCTTCCTCTGAGACTTCAGCTGCCATGTCTCAGCACGGAGACGACCGCGGCTCCAATTCCTGCTCTGTGAGGGGAAAGGTATGGCTGGGTGTTTGCGAGGTTTTTCTTCCTTTTTCTCATTCTCAAGGGGAAGGGGTGGAGCAGGGGAAGACCTACTGGTCCTTTCTGAATAACCGGTTGGGTTCTGTGCTCACTTCTGACAGCCTGGGCTAATGGCATGGGCATGGCTCAGGCCGTATTTTCCCTTAGTGATAAATAATGTTTCAGCACTCTGATACCCCACCTCTGGTACGATCAGGAACCTCTCTGCAAACCTTGGCTGCCCATCCCCACCAACATTTCTTCCTTTCTCTCCTCAGAAGCAGCGCGGCGCGGTTCCCCCCGTTCGGGAGCAGCAGCCAGCAGGCTGCCAGAGATCTGGCAGCGCCTGGCAGCGCACAGAGGGACGCGATGGGGATGGGCCGTCCTCACTGCCACGCAAAAGTGAGTTTCTGCAGTCCTCTGCCATGAAGGATGGAGGAATGAATGTTGAGTGTTACTTCTGAGTGGCTGCAGTGCTGCAGGGGATGTCCAGTAACCACGGTGGAAGCATTAGAGAGGCCAACAGCGACAGCTGATGGCAGCAGTGAGACAGAAGTCTGTGTGTAAGTGGTGCTGCTCAGAGCTGAGTGCATTCCCTCTAGGGACAAGAGATCCGTGTCTCGACGTTTGCACCCGGTAGCGTTTTATTTGCTGATGAAGCTTTGCTCTGCAGAATGCAGAGCTGTCAGGCAGACCGGGGTTCCTCTGCTGCCATGTGAGCAGCAATGAGAGCAGTACTGCTTTGTGTGAGCACACTGCAGTTTAAACCTCAGTTTCTGTTCTGGCTGTAGAACAGCGTCTTTTGTTTTCTGGGTTGGATGTGGGCTAACAGGACAGTGCTGCTCCTGGTGCAGGCACTTGGTCTGCCAGCTGTTTGGCTCAGGAATGAAGTGTGTTTCCCAGCTGGCGCACCAGACTGTGCTGTTTGCTCGTGCAGCTGAGCTCTGCGCCTTGTAGAGCTGTCAGGCAGACGAGGGTTGAAGGAAGTAATACTTTCACAGAATCACAGAATTGTAGGGGTTGGAAGGGACCCCCAGAGATCAAGTCCAACCCCCTGCCAAAGCAGGTTCCCTACAGCAGGTCGCACAACTAGGTGTCCAGGCATGTTCTGAATATCTCCAGAAAAGGGGACTCCACCACCTCCCTGGGCAGCTTGTTCCAGTGCTCCGTCACCCTCAGCATAAAGAAATTCTTATGCACATTTTTGCAGAACTTCCTATGCTATGTTTTAGGGATGGAGTTGTTTTCTTCAGAATGTCATTCAATCCAACACCTCGCATTAATCTTGTAAGTTTTCCATGGAAGCATCAGTTAGCCATCATGCATGTAGAGGGCAGGATTCCTGGACCTGAACTCCTAGTTCACCTCTAGGATCTTCCCTAAGACATTTTAATTCCAGGAGATTTCAAATGCTTCTTCTTAAATCATGCTGCCTGTGGAACTTGCCAAGGAATGCAAAATCCAGCTTCTGCTCAACAAAACATCTTTTAGTAATCCCTTGGTCCATCTCAGCAACCCAAACAACAGCTGCATTTTCTTGTGAAGAGTGGCTACTTCCATTGCCTGCCAACAGAGCTTTAAAAACTCATCTTGGACATGCAGTGCAAGTTCTAAAGTCCACTGTGTTGACCCATGTAGCAGAGAACTAGTGGTTTTTTATGATGGTGTCACTGCATCAATGGACAGGGGAAGAGTCACTGGTGTCATCTATCTGGTCTTCAGTAAGGCCTTTGACATGGTCCCCCATAGCATCCTTCTTCGCCGGGGCGCAGCGCTGGGAACCGAAGCCAGGAGAACCTCCGGGGTGCGGCGAGCCGGGACGTGCTGGTTGCCGGGCCTTACATTCTGTAAGTGCACTGCAGTTTGTACGATCAATAAGCACGCAGATGTCGTAAAGTATTGGATGATCAATGACTATATGGATAAGTCAGGCTAGTAAGATTGTCACATTGAAAAAGATAATCAGAGATAATTGGAAAGTGCTCACCAGTGTGGGAATGGAATGTTGTTTCTGCATTAGATATTAAAAAGGGCAATTGGTTTGAAGAAGTAGAACACAGTGTATTTGTATTCTGTAACTTATCCTTAGAAATAGTTGATCAAAAAAGTGAACTAAAAGAGTGTGAACCTGCAGTACTCAGCCAATGAGGAACCAGGGCCGAAAGGTGGCGGATGCCCCTGGAGGCATTCAAGGCCAGGCTGGATGTGGCTCTGGGCAGCCCGGTCTGCTGGTGGGCGACCCCGCACACAGCAGGGGGGTTGAAACCAGACGATCTTCAAGGTCCTTTTCCACCCAGGCCATCCCACCAGTCTTTGATTCTACGATTTTCCATTCACAGGTGGAAATCTGGACGGCTTCCCAGCCTCCTTGCTGACAGCTCCACCGCGGTCACCACGGTTGGCTGCACCTTCCTCTCTGGAGCGGTGCGAGCATCGAGCCCTAGGGAGGTGAGAAGAGCAGAGCGCGGAGCGTTACGGGCTGAGCGCAGGCAAGGCAAGGCAAGGCTGGGCTCCAGCCCGGCTCTCGGGATCTGCTGCCTATGGAGCTCACCTGGCGAGCTGCTGCTTCAGCTCCAGCTTCTGCCGGTTTCTTTCTGCGGTGCTGGCAAAAGCCTCTTGCTGATGGAGGTGCGGCTCCAACTTCTGGAGCACCTGAGCCGCTCGCGGGGAAAGGAGGCTGCAACAGGAGGAGAAGGTCATCCCTCGGGCTCTGCTGAGCCACCCCTGCCTCTGCCCTCACCCGGCCCCGCACCCCCTGCTGCCCCTCATGTGTCCCCAGCCTTGCACCCCACCAGCAGTTTTTGGCCCAGGCCGTGCCTGTCCCCAAGCTGCAGACACAGCCGCCCGAGAGCCTCAGGCAGCCGACAGAGCTCACACACACTCACTCAGCATGCAGTGTCAGCTTGGTCGCCGTCCCCATTTTACTTCCTGGCACAGGATCCACGTCCTTCCTCCATCTCCTTCCCACTTGCTGTCTCCTGGGCTGGGCTGGAGGATGCGGAACACGCACGCTCTCCCTGGCCACCAGCTGCCAAAGAGGAGACGCTGTCAGCAAAGCGGCTGAGAGCACGGGGCTGTTCCCCAGAGGCCCTCTGCCAAGGGCCCTGCAGCAGGCCCCGGCAAGCAGGAGACTCGGCCCTGCTGGCCCATGGCTCCCGCCGCCCTTCCCTTCTCCCTGCGGGGCCATGCCAAGCTCTCCTCCCGGGAGGAGCGGGCCAGCCCCTGCCATGCTGCGCGGCGCCCGTCCCGCTCCCACCCCTTGCGCCCTGCTGAGCTCGCACCCTGGCTCAGCGGCTGTTGCTAGCAGGGTCGATCCCTGACGGTACCTGGGGTGGACGCTGGTCCTTCCCTGTGCTCCAGCCTTCCCATGCTGCCATTTCTGCCTGTGTTTGCTCTATTTGCTGCTGGTGCACAGGCCATGTGTGGTCTGCTTCTTTCCACAGCGCAGACACTTCCTGGAGCTCCTGCAGAGACACAGCAGCATACAGGATCAGCCTCTGCCCCTGGGGCCTTCCTTCAGCTCCCTGCTCCTGCTCCTCTCCTCTGCCAGCCTGTTGGCACTGCTTTGCCCCTGAAGGACTAGGGGCCCCAAAGCCAGGGATCCACAACTCGTGGCAAACGTGGCTCAGAGGCCGTATTCCTCTCTCACGGCCCCTGTGTGTGCTGTGGCAGGTGGCAGGCCAGGAGGTGAGAAGAGACAGGGAAGGTGTGCAGCACCCTCCATCTATCGAAGAGGAGCTGAAGGAGCGGACAGAAATGTGAAATGATGGCACCCTGGTGGCTGTGCTCCAGATCACTGCACACACAGAGGCTTTTGCTTCCCTCCCTGTGGAAGCACTCAAGGCCAGGCTGGGTCGGGCTTAGAGCAACCTGGTCTAGAGACAGGTGTCCCTGCCTGCAGCAGGGGATTGGAACCAGGTGATCAGAACAGTCCCTTCCAAGCCAAACTTTTCTATGATTCTACCGTTCTGTCATTGATGCAGTCTCAAGCAGCACAGTCCCTGCAGCAAGGCAGAGCCAGTACCTGCAGCATTCTCTTAGACTCCTCGGTGGCAGGGAGTGCAGTGCTGGTCTGTGCAGTAGATGCTTCCTTCTGTCCTCCTGTCTTTGTCCTGCGGAAGCTGCCTACACATGGCGGGAGCGCGCTGCAAACAGACACAAGAGGAGTCTGCAGGAGCCCGGGGCACCTTGGTCTCCCTGTGCTCCCACAACAATAAAGAAGGGCTCTGGCACAACACGGAGAGACCCCGTAAGGGAGAAGAGCTTCTGCCGTCAATACGGATCAGCACTCAGCTCCCCCAGGGACCGGGGACCAGGGTAGAACATGAAGCTGGTGTGTCTGCCTCGGGCGATCGTGCTGTGCGCTCGCTGTCCCTGGGGAGAACGGCCCCCCCAGGACACACGTGTGTCAGGAGCCTTTCTGGGTGCCGAGAGCTGGCAGCTCGGAAGGGGAGGCCGCTCCTACACAAGCGCACGCATCTCCTTCTTTTCACCCAAGGCCCTCACCTGGTAGGAGGCTCCTTCGCCAACTTTTGCTGCCTTGAACCTGGCTTGCGCTGCAGCATGGTGGGGGTAAGTGTATTCCGCCTTGGCAGCAGCTTGCCGGCAGAGACCCCTGGAACCAAGAGAGAAAGAAGTTCTTCAGAGCAGCCCCACAGGCACGGCACGTGAACCTGGATCTGGTCACCCGGCACGGGACAGGGCCCCCCTCCCCACAGCTGGGACCCGTTCCCTCACCTCTACTCATCTTCCGCTCTATTGCGGATTTCTTGTCTGCAGCAGCCTCTGCTCTGCTCTTTTCCACAGTGAGCTGAAACCTGGAAACAGAGTGACAACCCTTGAAGAAGGATGACCTCCTACCCCACGTAGCTGGTCGGCGGTATTTATCTCTGTGCTATGCAAAGCATGGCACCCTTTTCCTTCCTGGCCATGCCAAACCAGCACACATAGCCTAAATTCCTCTGCATGTGCAGTCCGTTCCCTCTGAGGGGAATCGGGACAGCTTGGGCACCAGTAACACAACCGTGATCCCCCATCACTCTGGGAGAAGACACACACAGCCGAAAAGCAGCAGTAGTTAACCAGGAGCCAGACTTTCCAGGATTTCTCCCCAACTGGATGCTGAGGACGGAGACCCAGCAGGGCACGTCCCAGAGGAGGAGGTGGGAAGGAAGCCTGTCTGCTGGCCAGCTAAGAGCTGCAGAGGAAACGCACTCACTTCGGGAACACGCGGATCCCACGGGCGGCGGTCTCTGGCCCGAAGTCAGCAGGATCTTCCATCCAGAGTCTCTGCAAAGGGACACAGATCTGCTGGAAGCTTGCCAAGGACATTTCTTCATGGCTCTTGTTTACAGGAAGCAAGCCTGGCTTCCATGCCAAGAGAAAGCTACTCTCCACCAAAGCCTCATCTGTGGACATCAGAGCTTTGTTCTGCTCTGAAGGAGCAGGATGGCAAAATAGTGAGGCCGTGCAAGAGCACTGCCAGGCAGGGGCAGAGATCCAGGAAATCTCTTTGCTGTGGAGAAAGCCGTGGGGGCAAGCGTGGGGAAAGGCCTTTGACTGGCCTGCCACATCCAGGCTGGCCAGCGGTGATCCGACGGCGCACCTCACAACCTCCTCAACTTACGGTGTGGATCAGTGCGAGGACGGGGGCATTGCTCTCCAGCGTTTCAACGCAGCTGCAGAAGAACTTCATGCAGAGGAAGTTGTCCTGGCAGGTCATAACGCCGAGGTTCTTGAACACGAACGGGACGGGTGTCTTGTTCCTCAGGAGGTGACAGTACAGGAGCACGCTCTCCCGCACGCAGCGCAGCACCAAGTGCAGCGGTACGCCGGAGGCTCGCGAGAGCTGCTGGTAGTTGAGCGGCTCAATCTTGACATCGTCTGCAAGGAGAAGGCACATTCTCACTGCCACAGCCAGCACATGCAGCATTCATAACCAAATCCCACAGAAAAGGTCCTTTGGAGAAACAGCTCTTGGGCTGCGGTTCCTCCTGGAGGAACTCACGCTGCACCCCGAGCTTTGCAGACACTTCTCTGCTGCTCCTGGCCGTTTCCAAAGAGCAGGGAGAACACATCCGGCTGGACGTGGGGCGGAAAGGGGAAGGTGGCTGCTGCCTTCTTACCAGGGATGATGTAGTTGGGAGACTGGAGGTCTGGCAGCCACAGCGCCCCGATGTTCAGTTCGAAGATGGGTCTTCGGACTGAAAGCCCCTCTTTGCTGTGGAATTGCTCTTGGACCCCAGCAAAGAACCCAAGTCCCGGAACCAGGACTCCCTGCACAGGGAAAAGACAGAAAGGCTGACGAGCGTGTACTTTAGGGGCGGCAAAAGCCACGAACATCAGGAGCGTGGGGTCACTGCTCTCCCCGCTCCCCACTCCTGATGGACAGGGGGGTGAGATAGGTCTCTCTGGAAAGCTTTGGAAAACATCTGTGGTCCCTGCTATACAGCCACCTCCGCACAGTATTTCCCAACATCCCTTGGCTAGAGAAGAGCCCAGGCATTGACAGCACAGGGCTTAAGCCTGGGACTGATTGCCACGGATTATCCTTGGCACAGCCAGAAAACCCCCCACCCATTTCTCCCTTTGCTCTCCCCGTTTTGACCGCAGGGCAGAGCGAAGCCCCTGTGTGTGCCAAACATTTGCTCAGGGCAGCTCTGGCCACGGGTTTCCCTCCCAGTTGGCCAACAAGCCACTCTGGGCACCCGGCTTGGGCTCATCGTGCTGCTGTGGTGCTCAGGGAGGGAGTGCTCTGCGGGGCCCAGGCTCCCGGCAGGACTGAACCCTTCTCCAGGGAGAGGGCCACCAGGACACCAGCCCACCTTGTCCAGCTTCATCTGTTCCAGGATGTACTGAGACACAGCGTCCCAGACCGCCACAATCTCTGCAAAGGAAAGAAATGTCAGGCTCCAGGCCAGCCTCTTCACAACCTCTTGGCAAGCTCCTCACACAGACAGCGATCGATACAGGCACACGCAGAAAAACACCACCATGGCTACGGAGCTGGGCTTTGCTCTGATTTCAGCCTTATTCAGAGCCCCAAGGTGAAATGGGGACATAGGAAGCCTCTGGGACACGGGATGTCTTTCCTCCCAGAGCTGGACTCTACAGAAACACCCTCTCCCAGGGAAACCTGTCCTTGGATTGCCCTATCACAGAACCCAGGGGCTCTGGGCAGCTCTAGTCTCAGGACCTGGCTGCCACGTGGTCCCCAGAGCCCAGCGGGACCCTTTGGCGGGGCTCTTGCAGTGGCCCCCAGCCACATCCAGCCAAGCACAGATGGCAGGAGCTGCAGCTTTGGACTAACAGCTAACAGCCCCGTGCGATGCCTTGGGAAGGGGGTCTGGAAAGCCTTACCTTCAGTAGAGAGTTCCAGCAGCGTTGGGAACGCGGAGGCCAGCTCCGAGCTGACGCTCACAGTCCAGCAGCCTTCCATGTGGCTTGCCGACAGCCTCAGCTCAGAACTAAGGATGGCCTCCACCAACAAGGCTCCTCAACCAACCAACAATTCTCTGCAAAGCGCCCCTGCTCCTCCACGCGTCAGCGAGGGTCACCCAGTGCAGCCTGGCTGCCCCGGAATCGACTCCTGGCCACAGAAGGACAGAGCCCCTGAGCAGTGCTGCAGCAGCACCCAGGCCCTGCAGGGAAGTGCCGGCTCTGCTGCTGCCCCGGGGAAGATCTGCTTGTGAGGCAGCAAATGGCATTGTGACATCAGCCCGTGTCACCTGGAGCTCTGTTAGGTCACCGGTAGGGGAGGGGAGCTCCTCTTCCAGGAGGAGTTCCAGTTAACTTACTAAATTATTTTACGAAAGAACGCAAGCCTAACTTTAATGGTTTAGTAAGAGAAGTTGTTTCACGTCTGCTAAATAAACAAAACCCTGTGCATTCTCAGGCACACACACCTCACGAGCTTGAAATATCATTATCGACAGTTGTCGTGGTTTACTCGGCAAATGGCACAAGGACCTGCCACGTGTCACACAGGCTGAATTCAGCTCAACAGAGGCTGGGTAGTGAGCGGGAGAGGCAGTCAGCCCTGCACCGTGCCTGCCATGCATCACACGGCACTCTTTCTGCTGGAGCCCACACGAATGTTGCTCGGTGCCAACTCTCCCATAGCCTGAGTGTTACATTGCGGTATCTGCAGGCAGACGAGATGCCAGCAGGTGCCGTGGAGGCAACAGACGGCGGCAAGAGAGGCTGCAGAAGGATTCCCATCATCCTCCGGCATACACAGGTACACCTGGTGCCTTTGGAGATGGTCTGTTGCCATTCGAGCAGGGTTTCCAAGTTCCAGAAATGCTTTTCTACCAAGTTCTGTGAGTTGCAGGCACTTCAGAGCAAAGAAACCTCACCCACACACATCAGAAAAATAAACCCATCCAGGGGAAGTTTTTCACTTAGAAGCTGGTGAGCTGCTGGCACAGGCTGCCCAGAGACGCTGTGCGTACCCCGTCCTGAGGGGTGTTCAGGTCCAGGCTGGATGGCACCCTGGGCAACCTGACCGGGAGCCTGATCTCGCTGTTGGCTGCAGCAGGGGGTTGGAACTGGGTGATCTGTGAGGCCCCGTGTGCTGAAAGGCAGCCATGTGGTCTCCCCAGAGCCTTCTGTTCTCCAGGCTCAACGAGCCCAAACCTCTCAGTCTCTCTCCAAAGGAGATGTTCTGGATGCTGGCCTTTCAAGTCATGTTGCTGATGTCCAAGTTACGTGCCCATCATGTGCTGATGCTGTTGTGCCACTCGATGGGCTCAACAGGGAGAACAAAGACACCAACATCTTTGAGATAGGCTTATTTTACTGCCTACGACAAAATAGTAGAAACAATAATACTGGCAGCGTCTGTAACCAAAGGAGAAGCTAGCAGTAAAGGCAGTAAGCAAGGCAGTGGGCCTGCTCCTTGCCACGTGAGCGCAGCGATGAAGGAAGGTACATCACCAATCGCCCCAGTATTTAACCATCACACAGAGCCGCAGTCACTGGGGAGCCCGTTTGCAATGAGGATCTGGAGAACCTCTCCCAGCCACAGGGAAGTTGCATCCATCAGCAATGCATCCATCCCACGGGTGAGGCGTCCAGAGCCGCTGCAAGCAGCTCCAGCTTTTCTAGCATGGAATAAACCAATTGATGGCACAGTCCAGGGGAACAGCCAGTGCCCTCTTTCTCCTCTTGGTTTTCTTCCCGAAGCCTGGCCAGGGCTCAAGGAGAAACAGAAAGAGTCGTGCTGTCAATCCTGCTGCAGCACGGGCCTCTGTGGCAAGGCTGTCTGCCCAGCCCCCCCGCAACGGGCTTCATCGGGTAACAAACACGGCAGAAAGCTGCCCTCGGCTCCTCGGGGGGGGCCGCCGTCGGCATGGAAACGCAGCGCGACAGCACTCAGGCTCCAGCAGCCCGGCTGATGTCACCGGCGCTGCGACTTGCTGTGCCCGCCCCGGAGCCGCAGCCTGCGAGCTGTCCCGGCCTCGCACGCTAACCAGCCGACGCCTGCCGTGCTGGATGCGGTCCCTCCGGGCAGAGGCTCGCCAGCTCGGAGCCTCGCCCGGACGCGCCGTGGCTTGCAGGCCCGGACTGTGCCGGCCGGGCCCCTCCGACTCCACTTCGGTCTGCCGCAGCGCACGCGGGCGCCCCGCCTTTGGAAGCGGCCGCTTCAGCCGCGGGGAAAGGCAGCACGCAGGCTGCGCCGGCTGCCATCGGCACGGCACGGCACGGCCTCCCTCTCATTGGTCACCGCCCGCGCCGACCCGCCCCCCCGGCTTCCCACTCATTGGTCAGCACCAGCACCACCCCGCCCCCGGCCTCCCTCTCATTGGTCAGCGCCCGCGCCGACCCGCCTCCGGCCTCCCTCTCATTGGTCAGCGCCAGCGCCGCCGACTGTCTTCTCGGGAAAATGGCAGTCGAGTCCTCCATCTGCGGGGCAGCAGCTCAGCACAGCGCTGACGACCATTCGAGCCGAGCGAGAACCGAGGGCGCCCGCCTGACTGCGTGCCGGGCTCGATCGCATCTCGATCCGCGGGGTCGCTCCCTCACTTTCGGGGCTGCCCGGCTCAGCCAGAAGCCGCTCTCGGATACCGGGCGAATCCCGCCGCTCGCGGTCAGCGGCCGGTTCTCACAGCCCGGCGGCGCCCCGCCGCAATGGCGACTGTAGAGGACGGCTCGGTTCTTACGGGGGACGGACGGGGCCCCGAGGCACGGGGCGGGCAGCGGCGGGGACGCGGGGCGGCGAAGCGCCGCTTTTCCCGCACGGAGCCCCGCGGCCGCCGTCGCCAGAGAGCCCACCGCTCGGCCCCGCCCTCGCCGCGCTGCCATTGGTCGGTCCGCGGGACGGGGCGGGCGCTCCGCGCGGGGTGCTTTCCGTCGTCGCGTCATCACCGCGCATTCTTCCTGGTTTTTATTGGGCTGCACTAAAGTCATTTGACTTCTCTTAAGTTACTTTACTTAAATTCACCCCATGGGTGACCCTGGTGTTGGTCTCCTAAAACTTGGATCTGGGAGGTGACCACTCCTTTGCCTATGATGCAAGCACAGAGGTGATACAGGCACTTGCTGAGGTCACAGTGGTTGCCGGGCTGGGAGCGTCTGTGCCCCAGCTGGGAGCAGAGCTGGTGCTCTAGTGAATCTAGAGAATCCCCATCATCCCTCTTCAAGGAGATGGCACTGTCTGGCTCCTATTATGAGAGATAGAGGGAGTTCTAGTCTATGTAAAATTGACGGCGAGATTCATACAAAAAGGGTAGATGTCAGCAAGTCCAGTTTATTATGAGTGCGGGTCATTGGGGGAGATGGGGAAGGGAAGACGGGCAATGAAAAAGATCAGAGGTGGTGGGCTTGCATTTGCAGACCTTGGTGGTGTCTCACCTCCATGATTTATCTGGTGTTAAATGCAATTTCTGTGGCATGCTCTTCTTTCCAAGCTCATGACATCTGCTTTCTCATATCCTGGAGGTGCTTTTCTTTCCAGAAGCAATGAGGAGCCCTGGGTGGCCTTGCTCTTATACTTATCTGAAGTGCTCTGCAAATCTTTTGTGTGCCTTACAGTAGGCAGGCTTGTATTGAAGCCTTCTTAAGGTAGGAAACGCACACAAAGGAACAGAGTTGGGGCTCCCCCCCCAGCCAACAGGGAGGGCTGGAACCAGGCTCCACCCCTTTGCCAGACAAGAGAATTGCTCTGACCTGTTTTCCACAGCAGAACAAGGTCTAATGGAGATAAAAGAGCAGTCGGCCCAGGGGGATCCTTCCAGGCCTCAACAGGCATGTTGGCGGGGGGGGGGGGGGGGGGGGGCCGGGAGCCCTGCTAGGCCTGATCTTCTTTGCCGTCTGCCTGAGAGGTTTAGTGATCCACCACCTGATGTGGCAGCCTGGATGGTCTGCCTTGGGGCTGCGTGGACCGGCTGCACCCAGCCCTTGTGGGAGATCCCGAATCTTTGGTCGAGCTGGCTGACTGGCTGGGGAACCCTTACAAAACCTGTTAGGCCAGGCTGAAAGCCAGCTGGCCGTTCAGGGGAGCACTGCCAGGCGAAAGGTGGCCAGCCAGCTGGCCCATGGAGCTCTGCGTTTCCAGACCCCTCCAAGCCAGCCAAAGGGGTTCTGCCATGCCAAAAGCTGGCAGGCTGGTCAAAAGGCACTGGCAGGCCGAAAGCTGGCAGGCCGGCTAGCCTGGGTGGTCCAGCTGGGCCAGAAGGATTTCAGTCCTGCAGGTATCTCCCCTTTCAAAGAGTTGATTCCCCTCCTGTTTGTAGGCTCCCTTTAGGTCTTGAAAGGCTGCAATCCTTGCTAGCTGTTCTTTATTACAAGGTTGCAGCTCTTCACAGTATACTTCATGCTGCTACTATGTGATGCCAAAGCTGACATCTGCTGATTTGTCTCAGTAGACATCAGTGAAGGTCAGTAGTGCCATTTTTTCTACATGAAGGAGCTCAGTTCCACACCTTTGCTCCACACACACTTCCATGCCAGGTGCCAGTTTGTCAGATTGCCCCACTGCTGCCATGGAATGCAGCACTGGTGGGAAGGCTCAGGCTCCCTGACACGCAGGCTCCATGTAGAATAACTGCAATTTAGCATTCAATAGAGGCGTTTGCATTTTTTTCTTCTAAACTGTATTGTGACTAAAAACTAGTCCCACGTCCAAACTGGTTTTCAGGGTATCACATTTCCTTTGAAATGCTGTTTGAAATGAAATTTCCTTCCTCTTGCTCTTAGAGAAATTGAAGGAAATTTTAGAAGGAAACTTTAGAAGGAAAATAGAGAACAGAGGTCTGCTGCCGAGCTCCCTGGAAATGCTGGTTCTCTCTCCCATCCTCTCCAGGCATTTGGCTGGCCATCTCTAAGAGGGCACGGGTGTTCCAGAGCTGTCTTCTGCCTGAAAAACATCCAGCTAAACTAACGTGGAACCCAAGGCCAAGCACCAGACCTGGGCTGAGTAAGGGCAGCAAAACCCACCCGGTGGTCTTCATGGAGCTCGAAGGCCAGCCTGCCCTCAGTGCCCAAAGGGAGCAAGCGAGCCTGCAGCCACCGAGCTCCAGATCAGCCAAATGCCTGCAGTTTAGGGCTAAGGAGTTCAGGCCAGCACAGGGAGAACCTCAGAAGATCACAGACTCAGCATCTGACGGTGAGACCAGCCTGCCCGAGGGGGCACCAGCAACACCTCTGGTGCGGTGCTGCCAGCACACGAGGGCTCCAGGTCTGGGGAGTGCCAGGCACCAAGGGGCAGAGCCGGGCTGTCAGGCAGCAGGCTGCTGTGCTGACATCACAATGGGCAGCAGGCAGCACCAGCCACGCTGTCACCGGGTCACCATGGCGACATTTGTGACACGGGCACCTGGGAGGGGTATAAAGGCGTGGTGGTGGGTCCCGCATCCTGAAGGAGCATCTGGCAGAGAGCAGATGCACCTGAAGGATGAGCTCCGGCATGGCTGTTGCCAATGTGGAGCATCCTGCTTGTGCCAAGCAGGCCGAGATAAAATTCTGGGAGGATGGCCCCGCCACACCGCGGGGCTACAGAATGCCAGAGGTCACCACCAAAGGTATGTGGGTCCACAGCCAGCAGGGGAGCAGAGCTGCCAGTGAGTCCTGGTGCTGAGCGGGCAAGAGCCAGCACAGGGACCACCTCAGGGCTGCCTCCGTGTGGGGCTGGGGATGGCAACAACATTTTCCATCTGCTGCCTCCCTCCTGCTCTGAGCTAGTAGGAGAAGCAGCAGAAGCAGAGCGTGACCTGCTTTTCCTTTGCCCTGCAGAGCGAGTTGCTGTCTGGGATGCGGTGGCCGACTACGTCCAAGAGCAGCTCCTGCTGCGCAAGGTGGGTCGGCGCCTTCTTCCCGCTTGTCTGCTTGGAGGGGTGGGAGCCCCTCGCCTTGGGCCACAGAACGCAATGACTCTCCCCCTCCGCAGAAAGCAGGGTATTCACCTCCCCAGAATGCCTGTCAGGTACCAGTGGGCCTCCCACATGCATGGTATGACTACAGCATGTATGTTGGGGCTGATCACGAACTCTAGAAGCCTCTGGGATTGTGGCTGCTGCTGCCCTGACTGCTGGGTTGTGTTTTTGGAGGGCAAAGGGAGGGAGAGGACTGTGCACATCCTTCCCACTGCCCTGCCTGAGCTTCCGAGCAGTGGGAGAGGTCACAGCAGGACCCAAAGCACCGTCCGTGGACAGGGCAACCTTCAGCTCTTCCTCCAGCCTTAACACTTCAGCCCTTCCCTTCTCTTCCACGTGCAGGAAGTCCAAATTCCCACCTTCGGTTCCTTCAGCATTGCCTCCAAGCGGATCAAGGCCGAGGATGGGACCATGATTATTCAGTGGCCTGCATTTCACCCAGCCAGGAACCTTGCAGGCATCCGTAACGTCACGGATTACAAGGATTACCTGCCAGGTAGGAGGAGGCTTAAACCCTTTCTTGCTGCACAGACGGCACAAAGGGAGCCATCGCCTCCATTCTCAAAAGCAAACCTCACCCTCCCTCCATGGAGCCCGTCCCAGTACAAGGCTGTCCTGGGTGGTGACTGCAATAAGCAGCACTTGGGAAGCACCCACGGAGTGGCTGCTGCATGACAACCTCTGCCGTGTGATTTTCCAGGCCACAAGGAGCTGGAGGCCCTCAGATTCTCTGAGATGGCCACAGCTGCATCTGTGAGCCGGCAGACTGGGAAGGCCTGCATATTTGGCACAACGTCCCTCGTCTCCCACTGCCTGAGGAAGCGGGAAGGAGAACCTAGAAAAAGTTCTTTTCAAGGTGAGCTTTGGTTTCTCTGTGTCCTGGGCAGCCTCACGAGCACAGAGCTGCTCGCACACAGCCCACCAGGACCTGGCCAGCTGTTTGGGCTGTGCAAGTGCTGTGCTGCTCTCCCTGCCTTGGGCTCCTCGTGTCCCCAGTGCCTCAGCCGTGACAAGGACGTCCCACATCCTCCCTGTTCTTCCCCTGCAGGTCCCCTGGCTGCTGGACATGGTGGTGTCCCAGGTGGAGGCTGTAGCCTCCCTGACTTCCTCAGGCCGAGTCATCGTCTTTCCCAGGTGAGTATGTTTGTGGCTGCGGCCCCTGCTTCCCCACTTGCGTATGGCATCCTTCCACCCCCCCATATTCCTCCTCTCTCATGCCATTTTATACAATTTCTTACTTTTAGGTGGAGCTTGAGCCTCCCAAGTCAAATATACCTTTGTCCTGCAAAGTTTATTTGAAAACATGTAAGGTGGAAAGCCTTGGCTCGGGGTGGGCCAAGAAAGCAGGATAGCTTATCTGTTCCAATAGTATCATCAAGGCCCCATCCTCACAGGGCAGTCATGGAATTTGGCCACGGGACTCCACCCTGCTCCACACTCCATGCTTTCTTAGAGTCAGCATGCCAGGCTCCTCTGGTGCTTGCCAACACCTCAGGTCGCAGGTCAATTGCTTAGGGAACTGAGGGAAGGCTTGACCTTCTCTCCAGAGGCGTACATTTCAGCAAGTCACCTCCAGGAAATGCTTCCTGGATTGCAGACATTTCTGTGAGGTAGATCTGATGGGAGAGATGAAGGAATTTAGGTGACATTTTCATCCCTCCGTGGCCTGGGTGACCCCGTTTCCCAAGACAGTCCTTGGTATCGGGGCGCAGTCGATACTGGGGAATTATGGCCTCTAGGTGATGTGAGAATCTGCCTGTGAGCAGGTGATCCCAGCCAGCAGAAAGGGCAGCAGGAGCCCTGGGTCACACCGTGTCTTCTCCTTTTGTACAGGTTTAAATGGGAGTTTGCACCCAAACTACCATCTGGGAAACCCTGCAGGGCCTCCAAAAGGCTTTTGCCACGTCTTGGCCAGGGCAAGAGAGGTAAAGCAGCTGCCAGTCCTTCTCCATGCCACACACAACCAACACGTGATGGGAAAATCCCCAGCCCACTATAACTCAAAGGCCCTGACTTGTGAAACCATTTGCACCAGCTCAGCTCTGCCTCTCCTCCTGACTGCACGTTGTCCTCATCAAATCTAAGATGCTGGGTGAAATTCCCACAAGTGCTCCCATCCCAGGGCATGGCAAGAGCACTGGGGGGTCATCAGCCCTATCCTTTCCCTAGGAAATGAGCCCCCAAAAGGAACTGTCACCTCCCAGGCACCACCCAGCTCCTCTTTCCCAAAGCAAAGCCATTAATGCAGTCCCAAAACACAGCTGCACCCCAGAGAGGGGGAGCTGGGCATGAGGCACAGAGGGCCGGCGGTCTCTGCATCTGTGAGGGGAGCAGAGGCAGCCCTCTCGGGTGCTTTGGGACAGGCCTGACCACCCCTGTATGTCACTGGGCCAGCAGGTCTACAGTCAGTCTCCTCTGACAAGATCTCTCCTTCTCAATTCCAGAAGAATTTCCTGCACTGCCACCCCTCACCAGCTGGATCCACCTCACCATTCCAGTGGATACAACGCAGTCTGAGGAGGGAACAAGTGAGGACAAGAGGAAGGCAAGGTGAGACTGCAGGCTCAGGGCTGGGATCTGCACAGGGTGTTTTCCCAACCAGACAAGAGCCCATTACACATAAACACAGCACATGAGGGATGGAATGGTGCACCTGGGAGCCCCCAGTTCGCAGGGCTGGCCGCTCTCCAGCCCTCAGGGAAGCACTGGCACAACCAGAGAGGTGTGTGTGGAGAAGGCTGCTGTCACAGAGTTGACCAGATCAATCTATGTCCGTGACAGGCGCGACAGGCCTCTGCTCTCCCTCCCCACCCCAGTCCCACAAAAATGGGAAGGAAGGAAGGGAGGAAAAGAGCAGCGGCAACAATCTATGGAGGAAAACTTATTTTACTATAATATCGGAATACAAGATAACACAATATATACAATTTAATTGAAATTGAGATTAATAAATCAGACAAGATGAGAGAGAGAGTTCCCGGGACTGAGTCAAACCTGAAAAGCTTGGAACGGCTAGGAAAGCACCTCCAGCACCCACTGCAAGGCAGCAAGAGAGCTCCCCCCCCACCCGGAAGGGCCAGATCCCGTGACTTCTGTAATGTACAGGGATAGGTACCTGAAACTGGGGCATTAACACTACATAGTACACTACATGATGTTTTGATGTGGAATACTGAAACCCAAAAAAACAAAACAAAAACAAACCAACAAAAAAACAAACCATAGAACCATGACAGCTGCGTTGCACCTAAGGGTCCTGGCTTGGGGTTGCAAGATATGGCCCAAAAGACATTGCACACTCACGCAGACCTCTCCCACACTATTCTTTCAGTCAGCTGCCAGCAATCCCAGGGGAGGTAAATCCATAAGTTTATTCATCCATCATCTAAAGAGCCCCATCCATTCAGTCATTAATCATCTCAAGAGCCCCATCCATCCATCCATCCATCCATCCATCCATCCATCCATCCATC